AAATTAGGTGTCAATGGGGTGCCTGCGCAGGCAGTACTCTCTCTAATTAGTCTCTTGAGCCTAGTTGGTGGCGGGTATGCGATGATCTAATCAATTGGTCTGTGTCTGATGGTTCGTGTAAAAATCCTACCAGGCAGACTCTCTCCCACAGGTCACCCACCTGCACAGCGGGACTGCTCATTTTCATTTTTCATCTCTTCCATCACATGATGCTGACAGTTGGTTTTAAGAAAATTGAATCCAAAAAATATCTAGTTCATAGGGCACATGGGTCAGAACAAAGTTGCATTATGGGTACCAGCGGATCCAATTAATTAATATTTATAGCTGAGAAGCTCTATGTAGATATTTCTGAATAAGGATTTTTATCAATCAAATCCAGTTTCTTGTTTTAAAACATTCATTTCTGGAGAAAGAACTGGTAAAAGCTGAAAGCATGATAAAAGTGGCACCCGTTAATCTTACTATTTATATACCTGTGAGCGGATGTGCGCATGGTTGAGTTTATAATTCATATTCAGTGTTTATTTGTAAGGTGTGTGCAGCATGTTTCGATAATTCAGGGTAAGGGAAGGACTTGCGTTGATGCTGCTTTGCTTTCCTGGGATGGTGGCTTACTCTCTCTCCTTCCACCGAAATGCTAACCCATCAAATGCATGATTACATTTAGATTTTGAAAAGATGTCTAGCAGTAAACTGGCCTACGTCATATGCATTCATTGAAAATTAAAGCTAGTGCTATCCAAGGAGGGAGAGCAACGCCCCAGGCTGCAAGTGGACAGCATCAGGCAGGGTGGTTGGCGCCACTGGGGCCCTTGAAAGTCTTCTCACAGAGACAAGAAAAGCTGTACTTCTCATGGGCACCTCCCTTCTGCTCTCATTATTGGCTCCTTCCATTAAATGTCTGAGCCCAGACCAAAGTAATGGACTTATCATAATCACTGTGTTCACCGTTTATTATCCAATTACTGTTATTATGTATTATCCTTTATTATCCAATTCTGTTTGTGCCCTGGGTTAGGTATGTGATTTTCCTAGAGATTACTCTCAAAGAATCAGGACAAAGGCAAGGACAGACACCATCAGTGGTTAAAAGATGTCTTAAATCAACCCCCCAGGGTAGTAAATATGCCATTGGCTATAGGGACAACATAATTTATTGTTATATGAAAACAAATATACTAAAAATGAACTTATTTCCTTCAAATACAATGTTATGAAATTTTAAAAAAGAAAGTTCGGCCAACAGGAAGGTGTTGATCCTACCACCTGTCCTCATCTGAAGGTTTATCTGTGGCCAGCCTGCTATGTCCCTGGCACTTTCAGCAAGAGCACAGGCACAGCACTTGCCCTTGGTAAATGTGCCATAGAGAACGCCATACTAGACAACACTTTCCACTCCCAAGTATTCAGATTCTGCTTTTCCACTTCCTGTTCATTCAATGGTTATGTATGTATGTATGTATGTATGTATGTATTGGAGGCAGCGTCTTACTGTGTCACCCTCGGTAGAGTGCCGTGGCATCACAGTTCACAGCAACCTCCAACTCTTGGGCTTAAGCAATTCTCTTGCCTCAACCCTCCCAAGTAGCTGGGACTACAGGTGCCTGCCACAGTGCCCAGCTATTTTTTGTTGCATTTGTCACTGCTGTTTTAGCTGGCCAGGGCTGAGTTCAAACCCACCACCTTCTGTTTATGGGGCTGGGGCCCTACTCATTGAGTCACAGTTACTGCCCTCAACAGTTATTTATTGAGTGCCCAAACCAGTCTCAGCTATGCTCTGGGGATACAGTGTTCAGCAAAATCAAGCTTAGTCAAGAATGTGATGACACCACCTGCCCCCTTATTTGTTCCTTCACAGGAAGTGTCTCCAGACCTCAAGAGGGACCAAGAAAAGCCTTTGGTTCAAGAGGCCAAAATGGGCAACAGGTCTCCACTCTGTTGATGAAAGTGGTAGAGCAAGGGAGAGCAGAGCCAGGAAAGACTACTTTATTTGAGTACAGTTGTAGGAATTCCAGGCTTAAGCAAGCAGATGTCCAGACAAGCCCACAGCTCCCATTTGGGTGGGTGGGCAGGCTTCCTGAGAGCTGGAATCTCAAATGCTATTTAAGCTACATAGAAGAAAAAGGACATTTTTGCCATCTGTTCAGTAAAATTCTCAAGTTTAATATTGGAATTGAGGACCGAATGAAGATGCCTATGGATAAATGTGTTTGAAATACTGTGGGGACCAGTGCTCCCTCCCCTCATTGTCACAGGCCTAAGTTGGAATGTGTGGTTCTGTGAAGCAGCAGCAGGAGCAAAGCTGTATCTTCTTCATTTCCTGGGAAGAACAAGGGTAGGACAGCAACTAAGAGGGTTGTTCCAGTAATTTTTTTTTTTTTTTTTTTTTTGCTAAGGTCATTACTTGCAAAAACAGAGGTTAGATAAAGACATATCTAGGCAATCAAGCAAGAGAGTGAGATTGCCAGGTAAGCCACATGGAGAACTGTCCTACAGACAGCAAGTACTTGAGAGAGTATAATGACTAAGCAGTCTGGATTCAGTGGTAGCAAATGGCCTCTGTGTGGTATCCGTTCACCTCCATGTCTCTCCCAGAAACTTGAGAGCAAGGCATTTGTTTATTTCCTATTGAAAAAAGGGAATTCTCAAAAAAGAAAAGGTACCCCTACCTCATACCATATATAAAAATAAACTCAAAATAGATCAAAGTTCTAAACATATAGAACTAAGACTTAAAGAACATATATAAGACTAAAACTATAAGACGTTTAGAAGAAAATAGAGGAATCAATCTATATAACCTTGGATTTCACAGTGGATTTTTAGATATGGTACCAAAGATGTATGCAACAAAGGAAAAGGGGATAAATTGGACTTCTTCAAAATTGAAAACGTTTTTGCATCAAAGGAGACAGTCAACATAGTGAAAAGGCCACCTATGGAATAGGAGAAAATATTTATACATCGTTTTTCTGATAAAAGATTAATATCCAGGATGTGTAAAGAACTGATACAACTTAGCAATAAGAAAACAAACAACCCAATTTAAAAATAAGCAAAGAACTCAAATAGATGATTCCCCAAAGAAGATATTCATATGGCCAAAACCACATTAAAAGGTGCTCAATATCACTAATCATTAGAGAAATGCTAATAAGTTCACACCTACAAAGATGGCTGCAATTACAAAAAATAAAATAAAAAAACAAGTGTTGGCAAGAATGTGGCAAAATTGGGACCCTTACACACTGGTCATGGGGATGAGAAATGGTGCATTCACTACCGAAAACAATTTGGCAGCTCTTCAAAAAGTTGAACACAGAGTTGCCATATGACTCAGCAATTTGACTCCTAGGTATATATCCAAAAGAATTAAAAATAGGAATTCAAACAAATACTTGTACATGAATGTTTATAGCAGCACTATCATAATAGCCAAAAGGTAAGACAACCCAGATATACATCAGCTGATGAATGGATAAACAAAATATGTTATATCCACACAATAGAATATTATTCAGCCATAAAAAACAATGGATGCTGAGACGTGCTGCAACGCGGATGAACTTCAAAAAACATCTCGCTAAGTAAAAGGTGCCAGACACATAATAGGCGCCATGTTGTATGGTTACATTTATCTGAAATATACAGTATTGGATAAGTCCATAGAGAAAGAAAGATTAGTGATTGCCAAGGGCTATGGGAAGGATACAGGATTTCCTTTGGGTTTGAAGAAAATGTGTTGGAACTTGGTAGAGGTGATAGTTGCACAACGTTTGTGAATGTACTAAATTCACTAAATCATACACTTTGAAATGGTGAATTTTATGTTATATGAATTGCACTCACTTTTAAAAAAAGAATGGAAAGTTAATATTCAAAGAAAACATTATTGTAAGTAGGGGAAATGATTGTGGGGAGGATGCCATTGGAATGGTTCTTAAGTCTAAGAGTGAAACTTTTGCCCTCTGGCCAGGATATTGCTAAGGTGCTGCCATGCAGGGGTGACATCCTTGACGCCACAGCCTGTGTGGGCAGCACCAGGACACCTGCACCAAGAAGTCTCAGAAAAAGGCCAAAAGCCACAGGACTCTATCCGAGGTTCCCCATGCACACAGGAAGATGACAGTGTGGCCCTGTGGCTGGGGATGTGAAGATCTGACAAGGCCTCTGTGACCACAGGCTTCTGGGCCTAGGAGATGACATGGCTCCAGGACTCAGTTTGGCTAATGGGCGGATCTCTTCTCAGCTATGTGATCTGAACCTGGGAGTGTTTTCACTCTTCCTGGCAAGACATTGTTCCCCATCCTAGAGACTCAGTGAAAGGCTTAAGGGCTAAAACCAAGTGTGGAGGGGAGCAGAGTGAACATTTCCTTCTTTCTCCTTGAACCATTCACCTGCAAGTAGTTACCAATTTTTTAACCAGATGTCTTGGAGACGCGCAGTGGTACACAGGATGTTGGGAAGAGCCTGCCAGTTCAGGTCGTGCTGGCCAATTCTCATTCTGGTGAAACTGAAATAACTGATAATAAGCAAGCAAGGAATTACATACAGATGAATTTTTCTTAAGTATCTATGTGATTCATTTTTCTATTTCACGTTCATAAAAAGAACATGATAATATGTTCTTTTAATGGTCTGTATGATGCTACAGGCACTTAATTAAGACCAGTATTACTACTAATGATTTTAAGAAGGAAATTTGCTGAGTTTCTTTTTATCTAACTTTGCAAAAGGAAGTTAGGCCAATTCATGGAGTTAAATTACTTTAAGAGAAAAAAATGTAGCCAGAATATTTGTTTATCGTATGATAAGAATTATTTTGAGTTCGTAGGCTATTCTGCCTGTATTTATGTGGTTGCGAGAATGCTGACAGGTTCGCTTTGGCCTGACCAATTTTGACATCTCACATAGTTTAGGAAAAATGAATGATGTCATTTCTTTATATATATATATGTATGTATATATATAACATTTTTCTCGTTTTCTCCTTCCAGGATTAAGTTTTCATCATTCTGGAAAGGAAAAAAACCAACCAAACAAACATTAACGAAGTGGCCAATATATGAAGGAAAGCTTGGAACAGTTTCCTTTAGCACCCTGTGGTGGATTTCACTCACAAGAAAATTGAAGCTGGCAAGACCCTGTTTTCTCTGCAATTTATTTAAAACCTTGCACGCATTTGGATACCTTGTGATTTCCAAGAACTCTGTGAAGATTAAGCTTTGCTTACTGATATGTGGCATGTATTCTTTTCAGTCTTTTGTGTTTGATTTTGTTTGATTTCCCTCTGCAGCGCAGCGTCTCTGTAAAGGTCTTTATGCTTTCACCAGCCATGTCTTAAACACATTAAGACAACACATTTGGTGTTCACACTTCTTCAGTAATGTCTGTACTTGAAAGCCACACAGTGGCATAAAGCAACGTGCGTTTTCTTTGAGAGCAGTGCACATTTTGCGCCTACCAGGAAGGAAACTTTTTGCTAAAGCAATCCCCTGTCCTCCGACTTGACAACTTGGTCCCTGGCTGCAGGACCCCACCTGTTGCTTACCTTTTGAGGATATTTGCACATGTGGGATTTTTTTTTTCTTGGAAATAACTGCACATTTATATCAGATATTGGATCTGCTTTGCATTTTCAAGCCACCTTAGCATGGCTGTTTTTTGATCAGTGAAGAAACAAATATCAAATGTTAAAAACAAAGACAGGGATAAATTGCCTACTTTTCAACCTCTGGAGATTGAGGTGACTTTTTCATGTGGTCCGGGTCTTGTCAACATCTTACTTCTTTCCATCCACTCTGTTCCACTTTGTATTTTCTGAGTGGAGAAAGTGAGGAACAGAATGTTTAAAACTAGGGTGCAAAAGAGTCATACCCTTTGGATGAGTTCCCAAAGCAGTCTTGGCTGGTTAAATGCTTAAAAAGCAAATTATAAAATGGATCCACTTAAAAATTTGCTCACTTATGACAAAAGCACCTTCAGAAAATTAACATTAAAAAAAAATACCAAGCTGATTGGAAGATATCACTGGGTTCCTTACTTTAAAAAGTCTCCTGGAATAACTGTTCAAATGCAGGTTTTAGAAACAATGCAGGAATCTTGCTTTAAAGACAAAAAAAAAAAAAAGGAAACTCCTTGTTTAAAGAGTTGAGGGGCCTTGGAGGGAGGATGAAGGTGAGGATGTGACTCTGGGCAAAAGTGGCCTAGGCCTGGATTGTACTTTGTTCTGGAGGGAGAGCTGCCTGGTGCAGGCTGGTTCCCAGGAGGGGAGGCCTCACTGCAGAATCCCCAGTAATACCAAGGCCAAGGGGCAGTTAGGACATTTCATCTAAAGCATGAAACCTAGGTCCTCTGAGCACAAATTCCTATGAAAATATCTTTGTGTACCTTGTTTTACATTTCCTATTAGTCAGAAAGGAGAGCCTAAGAGTTTGAAATGTGTCACACATTTTTAGGATCAAGACCAGGAATTATGAAACAGTTTGACAAAGACTTTCTCAGAGAGAAAAGCTTTTCTGTAGTCAAACTCAGTACACTTAGGAAATTGGGCCCAACAATCCTAAACTTTAAAATGGTACTATTTCTGGAGTAAGGCATGAGGGGGTATGTCAAAGACATGATTCATCCTATCCAAATGTAGCATTCTTCGTACATTTATACATGCTAAGCAAAGAATTACTTACTGATTGATTTTAAAGAGAGCAAGAGACACCCAAGGTTAGAATGTTTACTATTTGCTACGTAGAAATCTTTTTCATTCCTCTTTCATACATTCCAACCCACTGGAATTCTTTAGAGGTATTTTGATTTAACGTATACGTCAATTAGGATTTCTTAAAGTAAATATAGGAGGACAACTTTACATGTAATCAAAAACAGGCTTTCCTGTGATTTGTTTTGAATCATTCATTTGGGGGAGAGGCAAAACTTTTGTACTTCACTAAGTTTAAATCAAGATCAACTGATGATTAAATCTTGCTATTTAATAAGGTTTCTAATGTGAACTTTTACAAATATTTAATGTCAAAAGACTTCAATTAGGGGAATTAGAGATATATGACCCTTTCACAGGCAGCTTCTCTTGGGAAGTGAAATATAATGCTACTTACTCCGTGAGGGGAGAAATCTGCTTTATTACAGAGACATACTTCTCAGAAGGTTAGGAGGTTTTGAGCCCCCCATCCTCGCCATCTGTACAAGAAATTCAAATTTTGGTTCTCCTCCTCTCCCTCTCTCTCTGTCTCTCTCCTCTGCCCTCTTTCCTTTCCTATTTCCAATCACATCTTCCCTCCACTTTTTCTCTCCTACCTTCTCTGAGGGCAGTCATGAAAATAAATACATTCTGTGTTCATTAGCAGATTTATTATTCTATGGAGAAAGCACTGGAATGTTTTGTGAGATTATTTTTATATGAAGGAATAGTTTGAATTCAAACAGCTGGTGAGAATAGTATGAACACCTTAGCACAGTGATTGTATCAACAGGACAACACTGCACACGCAGTATTCTGATGGGAGATTTGAGATTTAATTTTCATTCTCTTAAAAGAACAGTTTGGCTGACTTAAAAATATAAGATACATAGGACACGTAGTATGCAGCAGAAAATAGGGGACAGAAGGCAGAGGTGGCTGTCCATCCACTGATGCAAGGGTGAGAAGCTATTTCTACCTCCCAAGAGTGGTGAGAAGAGTTTCCAGGGGAGCCTCCAGGCTTGCCGAGAACGCAAGGCCTCTTGGTATCCTTTCCTCAGTGTGTATGACAGCCAGTGTAATCAGTCCCCTAGGTTATGCGTCTATAGGAGATACTCATCTGTGAATATTATTGGTTTTGTAATCTTTGTTATATAAAAGGATGTTTAGGCTGTACATACTGGGGTAGATTATTGCCTGCCTCCTATACATAGGAATATGCTACATAATCGCGCATAACTTCCATCTCCTTTACTGGCTTGTAGGCAGAGAAAACTATATATGTTACTGCCTTGTCATTTTCTCATACACCAAAAAAAGAAAAAAAATAGAAAAAACCTCAATAAAATAAGCAATCTCCTATTCTCATTCCTTGTCCCAAGCAGCATATTTAGAGACATATACAGAATCTACATTCTCTAGTTGGGAGTGGATTTTTTAATCTTTTTTTTGTTTTTCTTATGATGCACTGAGATTGTACTTTCTAACGGGGGATTGGTACCTAAGAAATGTGCTAGCATCATTCAAAAAACTATTATACTTCAAAATGACATATAGCAAGGAGAATGGAATAATAACATGTTGCATATTTGTTACTCATTGTAATTTGTCTGTATTATGAAAGATGTAATGGTTTGTCAGCTGTCACCGTTGTTTTCTTGTAACATGATATGGAATAAAGTATAGCAGAATCTCCATACATCTTCTTGACACATCTTCTTGATGGGTACCCTGAAGGACCCATACACCATACCAAAAAACAAAAAAAAACAAAAAAACATTGTCTTAAAAACTCTTCAATACAACTATTCTTAAAAGAGTGAAGTAAGATACCAGACCCACCATGTGGGAAGGAGCGAGTTAGCTGAAACGTTCCAGGACTCTGTGAAACCCTTGCCTTTCCTTGACTTGCTGTGCCAGGTATATGCAAAGGAGTTAGAGCCACACAAAGCAGACCCTGAGCTGAGGATCTGCACGGTCCTCCGGCCCCTTACTGATGGTCACCACATGTTCTGCCCATCCCAGACACATCTGGAGCCCTTCTGGTTTTGTTTAATGACAATCCTGTTTATCTGTTATTGGCTCGCTCTCTATTTTTCGCACATATCCTAAGATGAGGTGAGTAGATTACCCTCCACTGAATAAAACCAAAGCCTCAACATGCACAATTTCCGCCAGAAGTATTAGTGTTCTCTACTTCCCGGAGAACCATTTGGGGGATGTCCACATCTGAAGGGGCAGGGATCCCACATGTGCATTGACAGTTGCCAGCTTGGAGGACCAGTCTCCTTTTCAGCATTACCTTCTCCTACTTGTCAGATCTGTCATAACCCCATCTAAACCCCCATGATTTGATAAATGGCTAATTTATTCAGATAGGGTCATCAGTTTATAAATAGAATATTTGTGATTTTAACCGGTTTACAAGCTCATGCCCCATTTAAAGAGGACCCAGGATCCTGGCTTTCTCTTGAGCAGACCCGTACCCACCAGGAGCAGCTCCCTGAGATTTTCTTACCCTGTTCTTCTCCTGTAACCCCTGTGATTTCATAGTTTGTAAGCCCTTCTCAAAGGAACGTTCAAACAAAGCGAAACATAAGTGCTCTCAGTGGATGCATATTCCGCATACTCAAGAAAAGCTCGTGAGAGCCACCACATCTTCAGCCCCCAGCTGCTGTTTCTGTTTCCCATAAAGCAGCTAGCCATCTAAACCAAGGGCAAGTGCACTTGCAGAAAGTCACTGCCACCACCACTGGACCCTGGGACAGGAGATGGAACAGAGGTAGACTTCACAGTAGCCAAATTGGAATGGGAGCCATAAATGACCCTGGCAACTGATTAGAATTAGAGAAGCGTGAAAAAGATAGCTTGTTCCAGGGAAGTGTTTTGAGGGAGCAAGATGTTTGGCGCTGTTTCACTTCCAAACTGATAGGGTGGCTCGTGTGCCCATCGTGAGGTCTCCCTGCAGCCTCCAGGGCAAACTCACATTTTTTTGGACTGTGCTCCGGGGTTGATTGAATTACACAAGCTTTTAATAGAAGAAAGAAGGGTCTGGAGGGCTGGTATCTACAAGAGGCCAAAAAAACACCTTTGAGAAATACTTTTAACTTTTAAAATGTGGCAGCAGAAATCCTCCCTGTTCCATAATTGCCTGATGTTGCCGTCTTTTTCAGCGGAGGCCATTCCAGCTCTGCCAGGTTGGAAGACGTGATGTGTGCTCACTGAGCCGAGCGGTGAGAGTCGGGAGGGCGCCACTCCTATAGTTGCTGTTGGCCTCCAGAGTAAAGAGAAACCAGAGGGGAAGGTGTCAGAGCAACCTTGTGCCACTGGGTTAACACGTACAGTTGCTGAATAATGGCGGGCATTGTAAATCTCTGCAATGAGAACCCCACAGTGGCCCAGCAGCCTGCTGCTACCAGTGGGTGGTGGCGTTATGGGCATTAGCTTTGAGAAGCTTATATAGCAGAGGGGGCTAGGATAAAGGACACAAATCAGGGAAAAACTGACAAGATTAAAAAAAAAAAATCTAAGACCTCGTATTTACTG